ATTTCTTGCTTTCTGTCTCTCTGAAAAAATCTCAAAGAAAAAAAATACGGCAGATCAAGAGAGTGGTTACTTGTAGTATGTGCTGTGTATTAATGCTTAAGAGTTACAGGGTGGAAATTTGCTTACTTTTTTAAAAACAGAGATCAAATTACATAAAACTCATCTTTCTTAGAGCAAGCTGGTGGTGTGGTGGTGAAGGCAGCAAGATCCCACATGGCAGACTGTGCAGTTCAAGACCAGACGTGATGGCTTGAAAAATATGCTGGGCATGTGTGCACATCCAAAAATGCCTAGAGGAGAATGGAGAAGGGAAAGTGGCATGGTCAACCCCTTAGGGGGTGATCTTTCATGTTCCTTCAGTCTCTCTTTAGTGAGGGTACACACTTTAAAAAAATCTGTTTTACTTCTATCCACTAATAATGCCCAAATGTAGTCCAGCAGGTAGCATGGTGATTAACATGCTGGACTCCCACAAGGCCAACTGTAGTCCGAGTCCCAGAACTGCGACTTTCTCACTTTCTTTCTCTGTCTCTCTCTCTGGTGGGCTACATGCCTAGTAGCAAATTAAAAATAATATGATGATGATAAAGTGAAATAATTCTTTAAAAATAAACATTTCTCAATTGATCAAAGCCTTGCCTATTAAAAAAAAAGGAAAAAATAGACAGTTTCTTTACTAATACAGACGAATCAAAAGAAAATATTGTTATATTCTTATAATTCACAAAAGTTGTTATATTCTTACAATTCACAAAAATTCTTACAATTCACAAAAATACTTATACCTCAAATTCCTTGAACTCTCCAGATCTTAAGGCCCAGAGAGTTCAAAGAATCTGTCCAAGATTACATGTGTACATCTTCCATGTTTTAGCAAAACACAAAGTTAAATGAGCTCTATCAATTAGTAGAATCAGAATAAAAACTCCAATCCTGGCCTCAATTTGATGCTTTTCCATGTGACAGGCTCATGCCACTTAACAATGAATTAATGTTGTTACAGATTTTAGTTCACTACATCAAATCTACAACTTCAAGTTGCTATAAGGTAAAGAAAAGGTATATAATCACAAGAAAGATAAAAATAAAAGAGGATTTGCTTCTATATTATTATAGTTCACTTCTCCAAAAACAAGAGCAAAAGGGGTATTAGAGAACTATAAAGGAAGAAAGGGGGATCTTGGTTTTCTCCAAATAAGTGTGAAAGTTTTGGACTTTCATATTTTAATATTAAACAATTACAAACATCTTTGCATAATTACACCTGAGATTGCAATCAAATGGCTTTGTAAACAAGTCTTCTGGGCTTATTCATTAACCAGACTACCTAAGATGGAAAAGACATATTTATAACAATGCTAGCAATACTTTATTGGGCCAGGAGGATGTAATCTTTCATGCTTGTCAATGTAGTTCTATATAAGGAGATCTTTGAAAATAGAAAGCACAAAATAGTACATACAGTAAGTCTTAATTGTGTAAAATAAGGAAATTAAGTTTATTTTTCTCTCCATGGCAAATTACAAGTTTATGCAAGACACAGTGTGTGTAATGATGAGAAAATGAGACAGGCTAGGGTGAGAAAGAAACTCATTTCCACTCCCTGTTCTTTGGTATTATTTCACTGTCTTTTTTTTTTTTTCTCCCACAATATTCAAGAAAGACTTTTCAAGTATAAAAAGCAATCTTTGAGGGGCAGCAGATGGTATGGAGGTTAAGGTGGCTGAATCCCACATGGCTGACTTCATAGTTCAAGTCCCAGAACTAGTGGCTTGAAAATCATGCTGGCATGTATGCATGTGTGCCCAAAATCCTGGGAGGAGAATGGAAGAGAAGGGATTGTGGCGGGCCATGCCTCCAGGGGGGGTGAGTTCTCACTTTCTTTCTCTGTCCATCTCTTTCTCTCCCCCAATAGTGAGTACACATGCCCTGTATCAAAAACCAAACAAAAAAAACACAATCTTTGATACTGATGATGCTATCACTGTCCTTTACTTCCATACTCAATAAATTGAAATTCATGTAATTAATAAATCTTTAAACATCCAGATTCACTCTGAATAACTAAAGTTTGCTCCCCAATTCCGTATTTATAGTGAAACACTTTTAACTTTCTTTAACTTTCAGAGAGAAGTATGTATTAACTTTCAGATATCCTATGCACTGCTTTTATGAAGAAAGAAGTTCAAGTGTTCACTGACATTGCTACTTAAGTTCTAAAAAGCCTATTAGACATTTCCCATTTTAGCCTTGTATAAATAACAGGTAAATATTTTAAATTAACAAAGGTCTACCAGACACATTATGGAGAACTCAATGACTCCCACTATTTCAACAGAATCAGAAATCATACCAAATACATAAACACAAAGTAGTTGCATTACTTTAAAAAAAGAAAAAAAGAAAAAAAAACATTAGAAAAGGTAATTCAGTTTTAATTTATTTTCATCACTTTTTCTTCATGATCCAGAAACCTTAAAATGCAAAGAAAATGGACTTTCCATACGTCAGGGACTGGCACTAAAAAAAATTTTTGGACTGCAAATGAGTTATACAAATATCAAATGGAGATCCAGTTATCAAAATGAAAGCACTCAACATATTAAATTTTCACAATTATTTGTATAGAGCACATAAAAAAGTCAGCTTGCTATCCAACTGCTGTGATTTTTAAAGAACTATTGCAGAGGTTTGAAGAAAATAGATTTATTACTTAACTTAGAAAGAGATTAAAGAGCTAAAAACAAGTATTAAAAAGAAATTTGTGCCTTTATTAGAATGATGTTAGGCTTTAAATATACCCATTTTGGTAATCAAATTATTGTTTTGTTTTGTTTCGTTTTTAAATAAGAAATGACACTACAGAACTGCAATACTGGTCCAACAGTCTTGTCTTTACTTTTCTTTTAAAGCAAGAAACAGAATGCAAGTAATCAGAAAGCACTAGCAGGCATTCAGTTAATCCAAGATACTAGCTTCTTAGTTCCAAAAGCACTTGCAAAGAAAACCATTTGGGGGGTGGTGGGTGGTTGTTGGAAGCAATTTGTAATAACTGGAATCCCATAAACATATATGCCAAGTCTCATGAGGCCATTTTTGAATTTATCCTTTACTTGATCACTATTTTTTCCTCAAGTACTAGTTTTTCTTTGACTTTTTTTTCCTCAAAGTATAAAAAGTATGAAATATAAACAAGCTCTTGCACTGCACACTTAAGATGTGTACAATTCAAGCATTATAGAGCTATCTACACACTGATAAATCCCATCAAATCTTGGATAATTCATTAATATACAAAATATCAGGGCACAGAAAGAAATAAAACCCACTTCTTTTTGTTACACTTAAGATTCAAATATTCAATCTAAAGAAAAACACTTAATCATTTTGGCTCTCTTCTACATCTGTATGTTGATACACTTATTAAAATATTCCTGTTAAATCAATCATGTTTGGTCTTACTATTTCAAGTCAGGTTTAAAACCCCAAAACCAGCCATCCAGACAAAACAAGTAATCAGAAAGATTATCTCTTCCCCACCTCCCTAACCCTAATAGTTATGAAGTCAATTTTACGACATGACTCCAAACACTGGATGGGGAGTGATTTCTCACTTTCTGTTTCTATGTCTCTGTCTGTCTGGCAAGCGTACACGCCCTATAGCAAGAAAAAAAAAAAATCTCTCCAAAAAAAAAAAAAAAAAAAAAAAACACGTATTTTTATGAAGGTAAATATCTACCAACTTTCAGTATGCTTTAAAGGACTTGCTTTAAAATAGACACTAAATCTAAAATGTGTATTACTCCATCCATGTTACTTGAACAAAACTTAGAAATTTTGGCAACCATAAGTTAAGTATCAACTCTGAAAAAGATTATTTAACTCATGTCTTCATACCTGATCTCCTTCTCCTATACCTGGTTCCACCTAGGACTTTGAAATTTTGAGGCAGAAAAGGTTAATTGTCAAATGTCCCCCCTTTTTTTTTTTTTTGAGAGGTTTTTTGCTATAGGGCGCATGCCCTCGCCAGACAGACAGAGAGAGACATAGAGAGAGAAAGCGAGAAATCACCCCCCAGGGGCGATGGTCACGCCGCAATCCTTGCTCCTCCATTTTCCTCTCTGGATCTTGGGCATGCACGCACACATGCCCGGTGTGAGATTTAAGCCACTGGGTCCGGGACTCGAACTGCGGTCGACTATGTGAGAATCCAGCAACATAGCTAATTGCTGGTTACCAAATGTCCCATTTATACTGCTGAGGCTTTCCCACATTCTGCACTGAGCCAATAATCTAAAGCAGCAGCACTGGCCCAAGGTATAAACAAACTACTACAAGTCATGCCATAAGCATCATCTACGTCATTCACCTTCTTCACTCAAGGTCTATCTTACTTCTTGAAGGACAAAGTTAGACTCAACTACACTTTATTGAACAACTAAAGTAAACTAAAATTAAGAAATAAAATAACTTTTACCTCTTATTTTTAAATTCATAGTTGTATAGCTAGTTATTCAACAATTCAAATAAAAGCTTCTTCATTTTAATATGCCATGTATTACCAGGACAAAGCATCAAAATTTACAAGGCTGATGATAGCAGAATATCTCTTAAGAGAGCTTTCTTTAAAGACATTTTGATTTGGGGGAAGAGGTTCCTGGGATGGGTTTATTTACTCGGTTTCAAACAGCACACTTTCTATGCAATACAACATAACTTTTACCTTAATGTTTTAAAACATTTGCACAGAAAAAACAATGACTTTCTAATAACTACATTACCACAGATTTAAAAGAACCTTGCCTACAAATAAACTTACATAGTATGAAATGTTCACTCTAATGTTTAATATACTTTAAAAAATGAACATTAAATTCAAATGACTTCTAGTGCTATATATGCATGTACACGATCTTAAACGTTTCCTATGTTATATTTTGATACAATTTAAAGAAACTTGCTTTGTTCTTCCATAATGTTGATGGATTTCCTCTATTTAAGAACAATAAAAACTCTCAAAGCTTTATCACACTCACCGTGGAAGCCAGCATCGATCCCCCAAACCAAACTGCATATCGTTGCATGTGGTGTGTAATGACCTGTACATCAATAGGTTTTGGCTAAAAAAAGACATAGCAAGATCATTTCAGTAATAAAATAAAATAAATTCTGCATCATTTGACTTGATGTACATACATAAAAATAATAGTCACACTAAATTCAAATGATACTTTTTAATTCAGAAGCAACTGAGATGGGTTATGTAGGGAAGGGATGAGGACCATTGTGGAAGAGATAGTATAGGAAACAGGCCAAAATAGATGGAGGGGAAATAACAATGAGCGTACACTTTAATACAGTTCTGATTTTTAGATCCATGTCAATGTTTCACATAATCAATAATAAGTAAATAAAATCTTAAAAGAAGGGGATCTCAATGAGGCAACAGTTCAGCAGAAATGAATTAAACTGATCACCCCCTTTTTTTTTAAGGTTTTGCCATAGGGTGTGTGCGCTTGCTGGATAGAAATGTTGAGAGACAGTGAGAGAGAAAGTGAGAAATCACCCCTGGGAGGATGGCTCTTCCATTTTCCTCTTGGGATTCTGGGTACGCATTCACGCATGTCCAGTGTGATTTTAAGCTACCAGGTCCGAGAATCAAATCACAGCAGCCATGTGGAAGTCCAAGACCTTAACGTGCTATCACCTGGCTCCAAACCAATCACATTAAAAAAAAAAAAATCTACACTGGGCCAGAAAGTAGTGTGGTGGTTAAAGTGCTGGACTCACACATGGCCAACCATAATTCAAGTCCCCAGACATAGTGGTTTACTTTCTCAATTCCCCTTTCTCTCTGGTAAGTACATGTGCCCTAGAGCAAATTAAAAAATAATAATAATTAATAAAATTAAATAACTGCTCAAAAACATAACTACACTGAAGTGAGGAAGGGACTAACACAAGTAACTTATGCAATATTTTGACTATCATGAAGATAAAAACTAAACAGACAGTGAACTGTAGTTAGCGGGTATCTAGTTTTCACAGTGGTTTGGATAACAATTCTGAAACTATTACAAACATATATCCCAGGATTGACTGTGGATAACAATAGCCAAATGTCTCGCTGTCAGAGAAGGGCATTTCAAATGTGGAAATGTAAAAAGACAGCACGAATCCTCTGGTATTCTGAAACTGGAGGCATCAGTATAAATTCACAGCTTTTCTCTTATATAAAGAACTAGATATAGATGGAATACACACACAAACTCCTAGATCTAGAAGGCCTAGACACAGTGATTGATACTCCAGTAAAAATGAGCATACCCTAGTGTCCAAAACTGGGTTTCTTAACAACATTTTCCACTATAAGGGAAGTGTCTTAAACATGAGAAAAAGTAAAGTAAAAAGCAAAGAAAGAAAAGAAAAAAGGGCTGATTTCAAGGCATGAAAAGAAAGTACAACATATTGGTCTGAAACATCTTGCTGTGCCACGATGTGAGAAAGTGTGCCAAGAATAATGGGACTGTACCCTAAGAAGAACCACATGAATGAATTCCACTGCCTACATCTAAGATAATTTGACTGTCAAAATAGATGACAGATGGTGACACAGTGGTAACACTGTGATACATCTGGGAAGTTTTCAGGTTCACATATTGAGGCCTCCTTGTATACAATAGGCATATGTCCTGATCCAGGCTGGTTGAGGCCAAGAGTGAATCCTGGCCCTAAGAGCCCACTAGAGATGCCTCTCTTGCTCAATAAGACCCTGTTGGGAGTACCTATCTCTCTCTCACAAACTATGTAAGTTAACACTAAAAAAATTAGTGACATTCGACTATGCTTCAAGTATCAGACCCAGCATGTACATGTGTGTCCAAAATCCCAAGAGAATAGAGAAGAATTATGTTGTGGTCATCCCTGCTATGGGGATGATTACTTGCTTTCTGTCTTTCTCTCTCTGTCTCTCCAGTGAGCACATGTGCCCCTATGGCAAAAACAAAACAAACAAACAAAAAAAACTTTAAAATTTAAACTAATGACATTATAATATCACAATATTAATGATACAGCCCATAAGTAAGACAGATCAGGAGTACTACAGATATTACTGAATGAATGAATGAATGACGGAGAGGGAAAAATTCTTTCCTAAAGACCAAAAACCACAAAAGAAATGACAATTTGTAAAGCATCATTTTGTAGCTACCCAATAATTACTATTTTAGGAAAGAATTAAAAGGATACTAAAACCTGCGGCTGAAAGTTTGATGAGAAACAAGAAAGTCACAAAGTCTGAAATGGTCTTCCATAAGACTATTAAAAAATATCTAAGGAACAAAAATAAGCTTACAGTGGAGAAAACTGGCAGATACAACTTTAAGTGATCAAAGACAGCACAGGGGACAAATCATATCAAGTGTTTACAATACAATGTGGTGAAAATATACAATATTACTTCTGTGGCACACATTATAGCCACAAGTACAAAATCTGAACTTAAATCATGTTTGGAAATATCAGGCAAATCCAAATTGAGAAATACCACACAAAATAAATGGTCTGTACTACTCAAAATTGTTAAGGTCATGTAAGACAAGGAACACTAAGTAATTACTCCATAGTGACAGGGTAGAACAATTAAATGAAACATGGAAAATTCTAGACCAGAAAAAAAAAAAAAGGTGCATTTTGCTTTCCTTTGGATATAAAGGGTATGAGTGAAACAAGTGGTGAAATATAAATCATGTCTATAGCTAGATAATAACACTATATCTAGGTTAATTTCCTGATTTAAAATAAGGCCCTTGTTTTTAGGAAATACAAATAAAATATTTAGAAGTAATGAGTCATTATATTTGGAATTCTCAAAAAATTCAGAAAAAAAACATTTTGCATGTGTAGAGGGCTATGCATGTGCATGTGTACATATAAACAAATTTTTAAAAGCAGAATGATAAAGCAAAAGTAAGATGTTCACACTGGGGGCATCTAAGTAAATAGTATATAGGAATTTCTTCTTACTAGATTGTGCAACTATTTTGTGTATGACATTATTTGAAAATAAAAAGTCTAAAACTTAACATCTCATAAAAAGATATGACGTACACTTTTGTTAAGGTTTTTGCCATAGAGGGCGTATGCTCGCCAGAGACACAGAGATAAAGTGAGAAATCAGCCCCCTGGAGGGCCATCTCACAGTTCTCCATTCTCCTGAGACTTTTCAGAAACACACTCACATACGCCCAGCATGGTTTTTAAACCAACAGGTCTGGGACTCAAACCACAGCTGGCCATGTGGGAGTCCAGTACTTAACTACTACATTACCTGCTGGACCATGGTTTACATTTTTGAAAAGCTATTTGTCACTAAAAATTTGATTAAAAGACTAGAGCTATCTATACATATCTATATAGATAGATAAGGATATATAAAGATATGTATTAAAGATCTATAAAAGCTACTATCAGGTAAAATAAAAGTAAAGAAGGCAGAGTCTGCCAGTATTTAGTTTTCCTACGTCTTTAGATATGTTAGTATAGTACTGACATCATTGGCACGAAAATTCCTCATATTTTATTTACAAATGTACAAGAATCTTAAAAATGTCAGACATTGTACTTTATTATTGAAATACTGTATTAAAAAAATACAGAATTGCTTTTCTGATTTCATTTATTTGTAATGAATCATTAAAAACTAAGCAAATGGAGCTAGCAGGTGGTAAACTGGTTAAGGCACTGGACTCCCACATGGCTGATCACGGTTAGGTCCCAAACCTGGCAGCTTCCTTTCTTGCTTGCTGACTCTATTCTATCACCACATGGATCATTCTGGCCCCTCCCTCCCTCCCTCCCTCCTTCCCTCCCAGTCTCTGATAAGTGCATGTATCCTATACCAAAGGGAAAAAAAAAACCTAACCAACTCTTTAATATAACCATAATCCAGACCATTAAGAATCATTTCAGTTCAACCTTTTAAGTGCCCTAATAATAACTGTAAAACAACATGCACTATGTTCACATAATCCATGTGATTAGTATGATTTCCAATACTGAGAATTTAAAAATATACTTTTTTGTTTGTTTTTTGACATAGGGCATATGCATTTGCTAGAGAGAGGGACACACACACACAGCATGAGGGAGAGGGAAAAGTCACCCCCCAGGAGGAATGGCCATACCACAATTTTTTCTCTTCCCTTCTCCTAGGATCCTGGACACAAACATACACACACCTGGTATGATTTTCAAGCCACTGGGTCTGGGGTCAAACCACAGTTGGTTATAAAGGAGTCCAGTACCTTACCACCAAGCCACCTGCTGGCTCCTAAAACTACCTTTTAAACTCATCAACATTTTAAGATAAACTGGTAGGCAGATAGGTATGTGGGCAAGTGGATGAGTAAATAGGTGGATGGTAGATGGATGGATGAACAGACAGACATGATACATGGATTGGCTAGATGGCAAGATGGTGTGAAAACAAAGTCAACATTTCAGAACTCTATTATATGAGCATACTTGAAGTGTGAAGCCATGCCATTATGATGACAGAGTTCAATAATATCTTAACTTACACCCAAAACAAAATTTTTATTTAAACTCCAAAGGATAGACTTATTTAAGGTAATCAAAGTTTGGTGCTAAAAATAGCTGTCATGTCATTTCTGAACAAAGTAAATCCTAGAATACTGTATTTTACTTTTAAATAATTTTGAAATGACTGTGGTAGTCTCAGATGGAGCCCTCATTTTTAGTAATTGTCCAAGTAGGATAAAATGTATTATTTTACTGAGCAACATATCCTCTGAATCAATGTTTTGCTTCAATATTTAACAAGGATTAAAAACAATTACTGAAAGTATGTCTCATAAAGGGAAGACATTTAGAATTTAAAATTAATTTTGATTTCTTGACCATCAAACCCAAAGGTTGAGATTTGTAACAGAAAGGTTATTTTACTCATCTATAAATCTGCCCACACACTATGAGGCTGTGCAATGTGGGAGCTAGAATCAGTTTGTGAAAGTTGGCTTGACTACTCAACATCTCAACTCTCTCAACTATTTTGTTGTTCTGCTACAGTGGTATTTAAAATTTTGAGAATTCTATTGCTGGAGTATGCAATGCAATCTACTATATAAGTTTTGAAAATGACAGAAAACAAGCAAACAAACAAACAAAAAAACCCCCATAGTTATAACCAAGAACATTATCTGGACATGAAGACAATATCCTAAAAGATTAAAATGATCCAGAATACATGGACATGAATCATTAACCATTTTACATTAGAATACCTGAAAAGTTCCTCTAATTTTTAAAAAATAAACACAAATGTTGGCAAAACATTTCTCATCACCACTATAATCAAGGCACCCTAAACTTTCCCATCAGTTGAGAAAACCAACCTTCAATCTGCCACCACTCAGTTCTTCACTTAATTTCAGCCTGGCATCTACGGTTCTTTTCAAATCTCTTTGCAAACGACGTCCAAAGTCCCTGAACATGGTTGAACCCCCAGAGAGGACAATATTCTATATTGTTAGAGGGGAAAAAAAAGAAAAGAAAAAAAGACTTTCATTTCAAAAGAAAAAAAAAATTAGACATAATAAACAGTACTGAACTTCTATTACTTCCTTTTTATGAGGAGTGTTTACTATTTAACAACAGTCAGAAAATAAGTATGTTTTTTGAAAAGTATTCAATAATCTTGAATAGTAATTTTACTGTAAATACTGACCTTATAAAGAGGACGTCTGACATCAATAGGACAATTCTGAATTACTTCATCTACAACTTCTGAGATAGGTTGTGTAAAGTCTGGATTAGCAAACTGAAAAATAATGTGTATATATGATAAAAATCAGATTACTACTGACTTTAATGTATCATTAAAAAGTAAATGAACTAAATTTTCAGTTCAAAAACAAAAGAACATTTAGGAACTATAAATTCTAACCTCTAGTAGATTAAAATTAAACACCCTGAAATCAGATTTCAGAAGAAAATTTTTTAAATGATACATATAATTTCTTAAGTATCAGAAGAATTAACAAACACATAAATATATTATAAGCTAGCAAATCCTAGTAAATGAGAACTCTTGTATACTGCTAATAAAATACAAACTGACATAACCTCTCTTGAGAAAAATTTGGTAATATTTCATAAGAACTCACATGCATATACTTATACCCAAAAGAAACTCCCAAACATATGTCCTACAGCTGCTCCTCACTTAACCTACCTGTTTAATGAATGCTCATCCTTTACAATCAGTTCTCCAGCTGAAATAATCTCCTTTTTTAGTCTATGTGAGTCTCAGGGAATCTTTTTCTTTTTTTGTCTCATTCCCACAATAGGTCAATATTCACTACACGGTGTTCCCAAACATCCAAGACTATATATTTCATTTATAAATTTATACTTTTTGTGCACCCATAGTAAAATGTAAAATAAAATTAAAAAAAAAAAAACCCTACACTGAATTTCAATTGTGTTGTCATTTGTCTTGTTGCTTTCTGGTGCTTATCTAATGTATGCTTTTTATATAATAGAGTTATATTATTTATTAGTATTGCATGGTATCTATTGACAAATACATACTCTATGGCACCAAGACATACCACAAGATATATAGAAATGAAACTCAGTCAATAAATCATTAAATAAGGACCACCTATATTACATAAAAGCATATTCACCACAATCTTATTTATAAGAGCTAAATACCTGTAGGTCCAGTGATGAAAGATAAAATAAATAAACGATGTAGTTTATTCTGATTTCATATTAGCACATTTGTTTACTTACTAAAATGTTATTTGTAACTCCCAAATCAATACACACAGCATTTTCATGGTAATTTATGGACATGTGTTTGTATATAGCAGTGGAAATTCCAGTCTACCAATGCACACATTCCCACTTGATATTAAATAAGGTGACACTGTGTTCCTGTTTCAGCCTTCATATTGTAATTAAGTGTCCTTTTCACAGACTATTTAGTGCCACAGTTTTCATATTTTTGTTGGTAATTTTAATTCATATTTTTGTTGATACTATAATTGTTGGACATTTGAAATGTCCCTCAAATATAGTACTTAAATGTTTAAGGTTCCTAAGCACAAAAAGGCTATGATGTGTCTTATGGAGAAAATGCAAAATAAATAACTTTGTTTAGACATGAGTTACCGTACTACTGGCTATTAGTTCAATGTTAACGAATGAATATTAAACTAAATACAGTATCTTTACAGAGACACACGTTAAACAAGGTTATGCACTGATAAAATGACACAAATGTGAGTAGAGCCTCAGAGGAATCTAACTAACTCTGTTTTTCCCCTAGTAGCAATTAATTCAGTATTCACTAATTCAGCATACCTGGCAACTTTTATGAAACATCTACATTTGAATAACATGGATAAACTGTAAGTATATTGATATGATGACATACCATATTCAAGATTAACTATTTCCAATATCAAAATCAAAACTCATTAAAAAGAGAAAAATCTTAAAAAAACCTTGAATTTATTTTTCCTTTTTAACTTGAATGATTAGGGCCAGAAGGGGGTGTGGTACGCAAGCCCCGTACTTAGTGGCTTGAAAATCATGCCAGGGGCCTGTGCTTGCTTGCCTGAAATCCTGAGAGGAGAATGGAGGATAAAGGATTGTGGCGTGGCTATCCTCCATGGGTGATTTCTCACTTGCCCTTCTCTATCTCTTTATTTCCAGTGACTACACATACCCTATTGTAAAACCATAAAAAAAAAACTTTTATGATTCATATATGTCAACTTTTAAAAATACGTTTTTGTACACATGTATATGTAAAAACACAGACTGAATATCAAATTCATGCTAGTTTCCCCCCTCCCCCAGGAGGAGAGAAAAAGGATAAAAAAGAAAGGTAAGAGTCTAGGAAAAGTATTTTATTTCCTCAAAATAAATAAATAAACATGAGGCCAGCTCCATGGCTTGGTGGTTAAGAAAGCCAGATATCCCTCATAGTAGACCACACTGTTAAGAGTCCCAGACCTGACAGCTTGAAATAAAGGCCAGGCACGTGGGCATACATGCCCATTCCCTAAAGGAGGCATTCTCTCTTCTCTGACTCTTTGATGAGCACACGTATCCTTTAGCCAAAACAAAACAAAAATCTCAATATAATAAATTTTAAAATATTAATGTAAATTGTTTATTTGAAATGATAGGTACATGGGTGTTATACAGCATACTTTGCAGAAACATAACACTTACAGTAAATTTGAGATAAAAGGTATCTGACAATTAAAATTACTAGTAAATGGAAATGAGAGTTAAAATAATTATTTTTGTTAAACTTAACTTAATGGATATTACTATATACAAAGAAGATATCTTATACATAGAAAAATATTAAAGAAAACTTCCCTTCCTCCTGATCATTTATGTTTAAATAATAGATCAGAGAATTAAATTTATATTCTAAAACAAAGATCTTGCTTTATTAAAACTTTTCAAAAATCTATGCAAATGGTCATATATTTCTTGTTATAACTGAAAAGGAAATTATCAAGGGATTTCTCCTAGCTTAAAAATAAAATGTCAAGGAAGAAAAAAGTCACGTCTCTCCAGAGACCCCAGCACTCCAACGCCAAGCCACCTCCTCACCACACCGAGGGTCTGCCCCCAGGCTGGGACATGGCAGGGGAAGCCACATGGAGGTCCAGGGACATGTGTTCCTCAGTCCCCTCTCTTCTCTTTTTACCCACCACAGGGGGGAAGAAAAAAGAGGGTTGAGAGGAACACTACACACACCTTTGCCAAAAGTCAAAATCCAGCTCAAATTAGTCAAAAATAAGTGTACTTTATTAAATTTTAAAATACTGTCTACTTTGCTTAGAGGTGTCCTTATGGGCAAAACAAAATTCTTCTTTTATTAAACTGATTCTTTCACTGGACTAGTACTTATAAAGTATCTGTCAATTTTCCCACTTATCTTTTTTTTCTTTTTCTGGAGAGGTTTTTGCTATAGGGTGCGTATACTCGCCAGACAGACAGAGACAGAGAGATAGAAAGCGAGAAATCACCCCCCCCCCCCGGGGGGAGAAATCACCCCCCCCCCCAGAGGGGACGGCCACGCAGCAATCCCTTCTCCTCCATTCTCTTCTTGGGATCTTGACCACGCACGCACACGCGCCCGGCGTGAGTTTAAGCCACTGGGTCTGGGACTCGAACCGCAGTCGACTACGTGGGAGTCCAGTGACATAGCCATTACGCTAACTGCTGGTCCCAATTCTCCCACTTCTTAAAACTTAGTTTTAAATTTGAGGCTGGACATAAATGTAAAGAGATTTCATTTTACTGAAGTGAACACATAATACAAAACCTTTTTTTTAGAATTACCCTATTTAAATTTATTACTATTATTACTATTTTTTAAATTTGACCAGAGAGACAGAGAGAGAGAGAGAAAGAGGAAGCAAGCTGCCTAGACAGGCCCAGGATTTGAACTGTGATCAGTCATGTGAGAGTCAAACACCTTTAACCATCATGCCACCTGCTAGCCCCACAAAATCTTTTTATTTAGATAAAATAAAAACCACTAAACAAAGATTCAGCTGGCTTTTATTACTAAAATAAATTAGCAGTCAATTCTGAAGCATGCTGAGGAGGATATATAAGAAACTCAGAAGAGATTAAATAATGGCTTTAAAACTGTAGCTTATACTGAGCTTGAGAGCCCAACCTATAAACTATGATATGTGTTCTAGGTCAGGGGTGGCCCACATTGAATTATGAGGTATAACAGGACAATAAAGCTAAACTCTGCTGGCTTTACATTACATTTAAAGGCAAGCTCATGTGTAGTCATATCAGTTCTGATTAAGTGGAATGAACAGAATTGGACTCTTGAAAATTTATCACCCATAATTATACTTATGATCTTGGATAATCATTCTTGACTTTAGACTAAGAAATCTCAACAGAGCCTTCAGTTTTCAAAAGGTAATTCTTGATTCCAGAGTGATCCTCTCATCTGAGAATTTATCATCTGGTTTAACTATAAAAAAGAGATTTAATTCCCCAAAATCTGAACAGAGAATATTAACAATCAGACAGAAAATATATTCTATAATATTCATTAAAGTATTATTTATTTATCAACTTGTTAATGTAGAACTTGTAAATATTATACATCATCTTTTGTTAGCCCTAGTCTTTAGCACTTCCCTAAAACAGTAACACACACACAAACACAAAATTAACACTCAATCTTTTCCCTACCTTTTTTTTTTTTTTTTAAGGGTTTTTTCCTATGGGGGTGTTCTG